GCAGAAGCCCCTGAACCGCGTGGAAGGCAGGGCGGCTGCCACTGCCCCCCACCCTTCCGCGGAGTCCGTTTGTGTTTGGGATCGCCGCCTCCGAGAGGGTGGGGGCAGCTGCAGCCGCCCGCAGCGAAGTTCCTCTCGCTTCCGGGGCTCCCGCTGCCCGGCAGAAGCCCCTGAACCGCGTGGAAGGCAGGGCGGCTGCCACTGCCCCCCACCCTTCCGCGGAGTCCGTTTGTGTTTGGGATCGCCGCCTCCGAGAGGGTGGGGGCAGCTGCAGCTGCCCGCAGAGAAGTTCCTCTCGCTTCCGGGGCTCCCGCTGCCCGGCAGAAGCCCCTGAACCGCGTGGAAGGCAGGGCGGCTGCCACTGCCCCCCACCCTTCCGCGGAGTCTGTTCGTGTTTGGGATCGCCGCCTCCGAGAGGGTGGGGGCAGCTGCAGCTGCCCGCAGAGAAGTTCCTCTCGCTTCCGGGGCTCCCGCTGCCCGGCAGAAGCCCCTGAACCGCGTGGAAGGCCGGGCGGCTACCGCTGCCCCCCACCCTTCCGCGGAGTCTGTTCGTGTTTGGGATCGCCGCCTCCGAGAGGGTGGGGGCAGCTGCAGCCACCCACAGAGAAGTTCCTCTCGCTTCCGGGGCTCCCGCTGCCCGGCAGAAGCCCCTGAACCGCGTGGAAGGCCGGGCGGCTACCGCTGCCCCCCACCCTTCCGCGGAGTCTGTTCGTGTTTGGGATTGCCGCCTCCGAGAGGGTGGGGGCAGCTGTAGCCCTCCACAGAGAAGTTCCTCTCGCTTCCAAGGCTCCCGCCACCCAGCAGAAGTCCCTGAACCGCGTGGAAGGCCAGGCGGCTGCCGCTGCCCCCCCACCCTTCCACGGAGTCCATTCGTGTTTGGGATCGCCGCCTCCGAGAGGGTGGGGGCAGCTGCAGCCACCCACAGAGAAGTTCCTCTCGCTTCCGGGGCTCCCGCTGCCCGGCAGAAGCCCCTGAACCGCGTGGAAGGCCGGGCGGCTGCCGCTGCCCCCCCACCCTTCCGCGGAGTCCGTTCGTGTTTGGGATCGCCGCCTCCGAGAAGGTGGGGGCGGCTGCAGCCGCCCGCAGAGAAGTTCCTCTCGCTTCCGGGGCTCCCGCCGCCCGGCAGAAGCCCCTGAACCGCGTGGAAGGCCGGGCAGTTGCCGCTGCCCCCCCACCCTTCCGCAGAGTCCGTTCATGTTTGGGATCGCCGCCTCCGAGAGGGTGGGGGCAGCTTCAGGACAATTTTTTTTTTATTTTTATTATGTCAGTTTATTTTATATGAACCATTATATACAATCAGCATAGTGAAAAATATCTACAATACACATCTAAATTAGTATTCCTAAAATAATTTTAGGAGGAATATTTATGACTAAATAACATGATGGAGCTTTGCAAAAATGGGTTTATCAATCATTTTCAAATATTATTAGACTATTTTGTGGTTTGTAATTGTGTAAGTATACAACAATACATACGCATTACAAAGACAAACATGCATAAATGCACATGTGATGAGAGGGGATGTTGTATACTGGTCCCCTTGATACCTCTATTTACCACTTTCCTTCTACATCTTCCCATACATTTGTGAGTAGCTTCTTATGTAGGCTGCTAAAACACTCTTTAGTTCTTCTTTGCAGTAGTTTAATGTTTGGATAAAATGGAATATCCTTTGACTTTTCTCAGTAGCTTATTCAAGCAGAAAGTGTATAAAGTTGAAACCTCTCAGAATGGATTGATTAGCAAAGAAATTGAACCCTTTTTAAATTTTAAATTGAAATTAAGGAATCAACAGAGCCCACAAAGAACAAAAAGAGTTCAACAATTTAATTGCTTCTCCACTAAGAAATATTCCTTCAGAATAGACAATCACAGTACAATAAAATGAAACAAAGACAAATCCAAATTGTTACTTTGCTTTTAGCTCCATTGTTCTTCAGATAGTTATATCGTTCTTGATTCTTCAGCTTCCACATCCCTGAAACTTACGGCTTTACTTACTTCTCTCTAAGTCAAGCTGGAATAGATCTGTTCTGCTCCTCCCATGAAAACAAAATACAAAAGAAAAATTAAGCCATGTAAATGTTCATATTCCTTATTGAGTCTTTAGAGTTTGAATTTCTTGAATTTCCCTTATGATCTCTATCTAAATCGATAGGTTTAAATTTGATTGATGGATCAGATTTAAGTTTTTCTTTTTTGTATCTAACCATCTTGGGATGGAATTTCTCCCACATGCTACAAAAATATACTCATAAGATTGATGATTAGAATTTGAAATAAGTTGAACTAGTTTTGGATGCAGAAGAGGCTGTATTATATCAGGCCTATAATTGGAAGTTTAGAAAATGATTTAGTCAGGCCCACATGTTGACAACAAATCATTTATAGGCAACATATTTTTTCTATTTTTGTGTAAAAGGAGAGCAACTGTGCTTTCCAGTGACAGTTCTTTTTTACCATAAATAATGCTTTTAGAATGAAGAAAAAGAGTTTCTCTGCAGGCATGGCATTCAATTCTTCAAGAGCTTTCTCCTCCCAGGAGGTTGACTGTCATGGCTGATTGGATATAGGACACAGAGTTGTAGTGAAGCCCAATCTCTTCCAACGTTTTGTGCCATTATCCAACTCATATTGGTTCCTTCACTCATAGGACTATTTCTCATGGAGAGACTCATCTGTACAAGTTGTTGTTGAGAACATCTTTTGCATCCTCTGTTAAATTATTTATTGAACTCTTCATAGAGCTTGAAGGCTACTTCACTTGTATTTGAATTATATGATTTAATACAGCACTGTCAAATATTGGATAACTCATTATGTTTTTGTCGTGCTTTATTTTGCACAAATATTCAAATAAGCACAGCAGTAGCTTGGAATGTAAGGCCCTGAAAGCTAAAAGATGATCCAAAAAGACAGGGATAAATTGTGAGAGGCAGAAATTGTTTCTGATATGTATCTGTTAACAATTTATGCATATCGGACATTTATTTAACCTTTGTCAGAATGTCTAATATTTCAATTTTTTGGAGTTCTCCTTTTTAGTGTTCGAGGTAAGGTGTTAATTACCAATGTAACAAATAAAATTCTATTCTTCAACCCAGTATCAAAGTTTTTGAAAAGCTCACGAAACTTCTTTTTTAACATTGTCCTCATCTGTCTTTTTTTTTTTTTTTTTTTTTGCAGCATGATATTTGAATGATTGCTCATTGTTTGATGCTGGAAGTTTTAGTTCTTCAGATTTTAGGTCTATTCAGAGGAAGTATAAAAATTAAGCAGTCACATATTCTTTTGCAAATATAAAAAATTATTTGGGGCTTGTGCTGAAAATCAGTTCTTGGAAAAATGTTTAGAAATGTAATAAAGTGTTTATAAGCTATAAATATTAAAACTATACTAAGGTAACAAAAACCTATATTTATATTAGCATTTTAAAGTATTAATTGGTAAAAATAATATCATTAGCAAGGAAATCAATATTCTGTTATAGATAAAGAGAATACCCTGTTTCCCTGAAAATAAGACCTCCCCAGATAATAAGCCCAATTGGGCTTTTGAGCATATGTGCCCTTCCCAAAAATATTGCAACACAATAGCAGCCATGAAGTGACCACGCTCGCTACCTCCTGCACCTCAAAAATAATAAGATCTCCCCATAAATAAGGCCAAGCACTTATTTCGGTTGTCAAAAGAAAATAAGACCCTGTCTTATTTTCAGAGAAACATGGTATTTGCAGCTCAGGGTTGTAACTGTGGAGTTCTTAGCACTCTCAGAGCTTTGTTATTTTCTTGCAGATGTTTCATTGCCTGGCTAGATAAATTATACAGTACCAGTGAGATTTGCTGACTGTTTGTTTATATTAGCTTGCCCTGTCAGTTTTTGTAAGTATATGGCTTTCTCCTTGATGAAACAATACCCTAATCAAGCAACAATCAAAGAGAAAGTTGGCAAGCCGAATTCCCTATTGATAACATTACATAATACCGAACCTACTGTTATGCCTTTATAGTAAACATGTTTTGTTTTTCTGTTTTCTAAATATCTGGGCATATTTGGAATTGTATGCACTCAAGACTCACCTGAATTGATATAGAGTTCTGTATAAATGGTAATAATATTTAATATAACATTTTCTAGTTCCAACAATATGAAGAAGCAATAAAAAAAAGGGACAGCATTATAATTCAGCTCACTGCTAATCTGCAGCAAGCCAGAATAGAGAGAGAAGAAACTGTGAGTGAATTTTTGGACTTGACAGAACAAACTGAAAAATTGCAAATTCAATTTCAGCATGTAAGTAACTGATATTTTATTAAAATTTAAAAATATGCTTAAATTATTCCAGTTATTGAAGGAAAAAAGTATACATGCTTCTCTCATTTTTTCTACTTTCCCATTAGGCAAACCATTTTGAGTTAATGGATTGATTTTGATTTTATATATTATTCACTGACTGGATTTCTATTAAACTTTCACTTTGCAAATGATATTTTCAGTTCTCCGTATTATAAATAATGACTCTTTTGAATGATATCCAAATGCCAAAATTTTAGTTTAAGGAAGTCTTACAAGCTGAAAAAAGTGCTGAGAGTTCACAAACAATGGTTTGGCTATCCAATAAAATAAAAAGTGCATATATCTGAAAGTGTGGCATTGCTTTTCTGTATCAAGAAATCATTGCTCTGAATCGTTTATCTTTTATACTCCCAGAAAGTATATTGAAGTAAATTTAGTCTTTTTCAGGATAATTTATTCTGGACTATGTTTGAGTAAATAGAAGTACGTTATGAAAATTCAGGAGGAAAAGGGACATGAGTTTTTAATATGCCTCTGAGATGTCTCTGAGAATAAGTGTAAAATGCATGCATTTATGGGAGAGAAATGAAAATACGTTATTGAGAATGCTTACTTTGTAAGCCACTTTTTCAAACAATGTCTTAACGCACTGTTCTGTTCATAAGTTACAGGCAAGTGAAACTTTAAGGAACAATAGTTACAGCAGTACAGCTGCTGACTTACTACAAGCTAGGCAACAGATATTTGCCTGTCAGCAACAGCTCAAAGAAAAAGAGCAACTGTTGAAAAGCTATCAGAAGATAAATGAAGATCTTGAAGTGCAAGTTTCCCTTCTGCAACATAAAATCATGGGCATGGTTTGTATTCTAAGACTTGTATATTTGATCATAGTTATTGTTTAAAAAAACTGGTACAAGATGCACAATAATATAAAACATAGGACGAGGAGAACTGAACATTTATTTTTAAAGTATGTATATTGTACCTGACAAATTTCACTTAGCCAAATTAGCCATGTTTAAACTACACAGTAAGAATATATACTGTGGAATGAATGTGGATAATGAAAAATACTGTTTTGCTTTTTTCTAATTATTCAATCAGGTATTTCTGTGGTTTCCCTGTATAGAACTGCATTGACGATTTGTTTTTCTTTTTAACCTTTTAAAACTTTAATCATGTTTGGTTAATTATATAGCATATTTTATAAGAATTATGAAAAATCAACAAACAAGAGATAATTTTTTGGCCAGCATGAGAGTGGTATCTATTACTGTAACCAATTTATGGAGACTACATATGGCAAGAATAGGTTTATGGTTTTTTAAAATCTCTTATTCTGTTAATTTCCTGTCTGAGAAACATGCATTTTTGCAGGCTAGGCAAAAATAAAGTTGGCTGGTATGTCATGTAAACTTAGCCATTGATTTAAAATATATTTTAAAAATAAGATTATCACACGAAAGCATAATATAGTTTATTTGAGTAGACAAAAGTTTTATCACACAGAACAGTTACTTTTTTAAACCCAGTTTTACAATTTAATGTACTATTTGAATCCAAGTCCTGTGCTTATTTTATTGACTTTAAATGTGTTATTCTAAAAATCAATAGTTCTTTTTATAATAATATAAAGCTTAATAAATCTGAGGTATATGAAGGTATATTAGAAATTTTATAATAAATAAGGGAATTGTTTCTATGATAGGAAAAATGGAAAGATGAAGAAAATTGTTCTACAAAGAAGAAAATGCACGAACAACAAACAACTATTGAAGAATTGAAAACAAAATGTAAAGAACATGAAGAAAATATGCTTCTATGTCTGAAAAAATTATCATTTGCTGAGAAATCTCTAGTGGAATTAAAAGAAGAGACTTTTCAAAAGAATCAAGAGCTCCGTAATGTGAAACTTGAACTAACAATTTCTAAACAAAAAGAAAAAGAAGGTTCTGAGGAAATAAAACTGTTAATGGGAACTGTGGAAGAACTGCAAAAGCAATTTCACGAAGTTACCCAACATGAGAATGATATCAAAGAAAAAATGGAATTTGAAGCCCAAAGGAAAGTTGCAGATCTCACGGCAGAATTAGAAGAAATGCATGGCCAGCAGATTGTACAACTGAAGCAAGTATTAATCAGAGAACATTCAGCAGAAATCGAAAAGGTCCTTGCCCAACAAAAAGCAGATTTAGAGAAAGTATACTCTGATAATACTAATGACCAAATCCACTTAATGAATACTGCAATTAATGATTTGAATCAGATGCTTCAGGATGCTTACAATCAACAAGAAAAAGTAAAACATGAATTATCCAAGCAGGTTGAACGGTTGTCCTTGGAAAAATCTTCTTTTCAAAATCAAGTGGAAGATCTTTGTCAACAACTGAGCTTTGCTCAGTTCATGACAAAGAAGGCTATAAGTGAAAAAGAAACCAAATTGCAAGAAGTAGATACATTAAAAATCACTATTGGAGACCTAAAAGCTCAACTTATTTCAGCCGTAGAGATAAGGAAAGAACTAGAAATGAAACATGAAGTAGAAATTATAAACTACCAAATAAAACTTGAAATGCTGGGAAGAGAAAAGGATGCTGTTCTGGACAGGATGGCAGAATCTCAAGAAGAAGAACTAGAGAGATTGAGGACTCAGCTTTTATTCAGTCATGAAGAAGAATTGTCAAAAGTGAAAGATGATTTACAAATAGAACACAAAATAAATATTGAAAATCTTAAAGATAATATGACTATGCAAGCTAAACACCAATTAGATGATTTGCAGAATGAAATGAACAAAAAATTAGAAGCTATGCAGTTCAAAAATGACAACTTAATAAAAATTCAGAATCAACTCACATTAGAAATAGCAAGACTAGAAGATTTACATCCGCCTACAGTAAATACTAACTCAGAAGAAATGATACTACTGATAAAGAACCTAAAGGAAGAGATAAAAGTTCTTAGACAAGAAGAAAAGAAAAAATGTATACTTGAACAGGAGTTGCAACTTAAAACAGAATTACTTGACAAAAAAATGAAAGAGCAGGCACATTATCTTCAAGAAAAATATTTATTGGTTGAAGCACAAAATGATGTTCTTGAAGGTGAAAATAAGGCTCTACAAGACAAATTAAACAAATGCACAGTTAGGAATGTGGAAGGGAACTTGATTTTTACTAGTAACAATTCTAATTCAGAGGATTTTGATTTACAAAACAGAATAGACAAATTAATAGCTGAAAATGAAAAACTTGTACAACAAGACATCAAACAAAAAGAAGAGATTAATACACTAAAAAACTCATTTTCACGTGCTGAAATAAATTTTAACCACAATTACCAAGAACTCAAAGAAAATTATACTTCTCTTTTAAAAGTAAAATTGGATTTAGAAGCAAGCATGGACAAGAATAAAGAGGAATATATAGAAAAAGACACATCAGAACTTATGGAAAAACTAGAGCTCTCTCAGCATGAGAATTTAGAACTTTCATTAAGACTTTCTGATCTTTCTGAACAGTTAAAAGTAAAGCATCATCAAATCTGCCAATTAAATGCAGAGGTTATGTGCCTAAAGCAAGATAAAGAACACATTTCAGCAAGGTGTAAAGAACTAGAATTTGTAGTTAGTCACAAATTGGAGAAGAATATTAATTCTTTTGAACAGGAAACAGAAAATTGCCGTGGGGAACTAGCCAAAAATCAGCCTACAGTTAATGAACCTGGAAACTTTATTTCTGACTTCAATCAGACATTTGACATATCAATAGAAGAAGAAAATATTATACTATATTATATTATGCCAAGTGAGCTGTTGGCTCATAGCATTCCTGTGGAAGACATTCTTTATCAAAAACTGAGCCGAGAACCAGAATCACTATTGGATAATTTTAATCAAATGCATGAAATAACAGGAGATTCCGTGTGTATGAATCCTATGCAAAAGAAAAACAAAGTAAAGGAACAGCTGGATATGTTAAAAACTAAGCAGGTATGGATAAACATATGAATGCATGAATATATGCATTTCTGCATGACTTCTCTATAAGCTAATATGTGATAATAAGGGATCTCTTTTGAGGATATACATTACATATCTATTTGATATGATTTTCCTTGAATATGTGATATTTATTCACAGATATTTATAAAAAACCAGTCAATAACTCTGAAACGTATTAACATAGACACCCAAAAAACTGAAGGCAGAAAAAAACTTCCTTATCCACTGAACCACCTAGTGTTTAAACCCAATCCTATACAACTTTTTATGAGTTCATTATATTATGTGCAACTATGTCATATGATTTGTTAAAATTTAGATAGGTCTATGCAATAGTGGCAAATATCTGTAGCTTGGGCATAGGATAAGGGTGAAGGTTCATTCTCCGAGCTTGTAACTTGGTTTCTGAAAGTTTCATTACAGGGATAGGTAACATATTCAGCAGAGTTTAGGGAGTGTCAGTGTTCTTCCATTTATGAGAGCTTCAGGTGTGGGTGTCTCAAGTGATGGTCTCAAGTGATGGGTCAGCTGTGAGTTATCAGTGAGTCTTCTGATGTGTCTTGTGATAAGGAGGTTACATAAGGCAAGGGTCATAAGGAGATGAACTGCTGGTGGGAGGATGGTTGCATGTGTTGGTTGAGGGCGGTGCTGGCTCAATGCCACTTTCATCCAAAACATTTGTGACATATTTTTAACAGGTTTAGGTTTATTTTGTTTAATTTGGTGGCTGGTGGCAGGTGGAGCCATATTTGAGGGCACACAAGGTGTTGCCCTACGTCAGCTCCAGTGCGCATGTGCATGCTGGTCAGCTGATTTTCGGCCTTGTGGTAGGCCCGTTGGGCCGTTATTTACCCTCCCCAGATCTCAGGAAAGCCTCCTTAAGCCTGGGGAGGATGGAAAATGGATCTATTGGGCCCACCGGAAGTCAGAAAATGGGCCATTTCCGGCTTCCAGAGAGGTTCCAGGAGGTCAGGAAGGCCGTTTTTGCTCTCCCCAGGCTCCAAGAAAGCTATGTGCACTTGCGCAGGTGGGCACAACATGGTGGGAGCATTAAATTAAGGGTGTGGGCATGCACACATGCACCATAGCACGCTGCATGTGCTTTTGGCCCCTAAAGGAATAATGGTTTGCCATCACTAGCCTATAGTTTCCAACTTCTTCCGTAGCCTTTTTCTTGTGGATAGGTACAATATTAGCTGTTAATCAGTCCTGGGGAATTTCACCTTTTATTTACTTAATCAGTATCTGGTTAAGCAGATCAACTCATGGTCCAGTGAGCACACCATTACTTTCCAGGCCCATTACTTTCTTAAGCTTTAAGCAGACAAGCTCACTCCCACTTTCCCCTCTAAAAACCCTGTAAAAGATTCTGCACTGCTAGGACTAGTATGATATTCTACCTTGTTTCTGTTATTGGCATTTACTTAGTATTCATTTAGATGGAGTTTGCCAAGTGTTAATAAAAATTGTACATATTTTTCATGATCAATTTCAAGTAAATGATAAAATTACCTGGAATTTATCAAGAATTTCAATTTTTAAAAATGTTAATTTGAATATGAAGGAATATTTAAATATTTAAGAACTAACATTAACAGTAATATTAAAAATAAATGTTATTCTAATTAATAATTGGAAAGGTACTAGTGGGAAAAAGAAAAGGAAAAGCCAGTTGTTCAGTATGACAGAAAGACAGGTGATCAGTGTGCAAGCCATCTGCTTTCACCAGATGTTTAAAAATTATTAGAAGCTTAACAATTTGAGAAATGAAAGTAGAAATGCAGAACATTCTCTTCCAGAAAACTTCCAAAGCAGACTGAAAATATTTAGTCTGTCTTTCCAATGACATAATGCGCACCCCTATGTATCTTTAAAAACTAGGGAAATAATAATTTATTATAATGTCAGTCTCCAGACTGAAATATAATCATCTACTTTTAAATGGTAATCTGGTGTTTCACTATATTGCCATTAGGAGAGCTTCCTTAATTACGGAATCTATATCATATATTGGGAGGACCAAAAAAGGTAATACTTTGCTGTTTGGTTGTTTGAAGAGATGTTTTTGTTTCACCTTAAGGGAATTCCAGCTATGCCCACCTAGGTTTATTAGGAATAGTTTTTTCTTGTATTCCTGTTCTATTCACCAACTGTAACAACATCCTAGCATGGCTGGGAAAAATGAAGCACCACAAGTCACTGGGTCTTATAAGGCAAGAAAGATTTATTGTCCTTGCTTTTGATGGTCTTCAATTCATTTGTACAATATTAAGAATTATTATCTTGGATGTTTTAATTTTTTGATTAATATATTGCTGAAAAAGATTATTGTTATAAACGTCTTGAAAAATTTCAAATTAAGGTAGCATACAGTTTTGATAAATAAGATTAAAACACAGATTATTTATATCTTTAATATCTTGGGGAATAAAATGATTATTAAATTCCACATATGTGTATTTTTCTCTAGAGCGATTTAAATTTTCAGATGGAGGCCCAAGCTATTTGTCCCTCTGTGGCTTATTCAGCGCATGTGAATCAGGTGCGTGACTACATGGAAAAAGAAAAAGAAAATGCACTTTCTGTTCTTAAAGAAGATCTCCAGCTAAGTCATACACAAGAGTTTTATGAGCTAAACAAAGGCCAGATTGTGGACAATCAAAAAACAGGTAAGCGGATAAACCAGAAGAAAATTATTTTTAGAATTCCAAGCTTCTTATAATACTCTCCCAGTAGACTCTCTCCCCTTTAGGCCATACCCATAGTTTCTTAAAATAAAACTTATTAAAATAAATATTTCAGTGATAATTTGTTTCCACAGATGAAAAAGACCAATCTGCATGGGTGCATCTGGAAGAACTTAGCAAGAAAGTAGTTGAAGAATGTTCAAAGCTCACTAAGGTCAAGAACAAATTGCCTTAGAATTGTTTAAATTTTGTGTTTCCATTCTTGCTCTAATCTTACAAAAATGTTAAATTGTATCCCATGCATTTTTATAATATTGCTAGGCTATAGTTTAAGTATGAGGATTGGGGAAAATACGGGTGAATCTTTTAGGCACTTACCTAAGGGATCTTTCCTGTAATAAAATTAAGTGTTTTTTAATGAATGCAAAATAGTATTTCTATAAAAGCTTTATTTGTTTTTTCCTTAGCTGGCTTGATATAATCAAGTATAAAGCTATAATATTCATTTTTATTATTTTTGTAGTCAGTACGTGAAATTCTTCCTGAACTTTTTTCAAATGCTACTGAACTTGATGTTGGTGAGAGAAATCAATCTAATTCAGCATTAATGCCAACAGAAGACCCTCAAGGTAACTCTTCTTGTGCAAATCTATACATGGCCACAAGGGCTACTTTAAACAAAAGTTTATAGAATTGAAGTCCTTGGACTACAACCATTTGTTCAGTGACATGCCAAACAAATTGAACTTTTGATTGGTCTGCAAACTTCTGATCATCGTAGCACTTCACAGTCACATGATCCTCATTTGTGTTCTTCCCTGTTGGCATCCCACAAGTAAAGTCAGTGGGGAAGCCAGCAAGGAAAGTTGCAAGTCATCTCTTATCAAAAGCTGCTGCTTTTTCTCTTGGGGAATACAGCTATGGAAATACAAAATCCCTTTTATGCTCTGCAGCTTCCCCTGTCCTTATATAGTACAGGTAGTTCTTGATAGCACTTTCAATGTCCTTTGCTAAGCAGTGCAGTCCCATGTGCTGTCGTACATCCAGAAAATGTGTGTCATAAAGTGGGAAGAGGCAGGAATGCAGGTGGGAGCACAGGTGATGTGGGGAGAGAATTCATTCATAATTCAGCCAGATTGTGGGGGCAATATGCTGACTCTGTAAATCGCTTACAGCTATAAAGCACTGTGAAGCGGTATATAAGTCTTAAGTGCTGTTGCTATAATTCAGGACTTTTATTTAAAGTAACTGGTAGAAATTGAAAATTCACATTCATCCTTAGATTTTTGAAGATTAATATCTTGGTGGCATTATAAGGAAAGTAGAATACTGTTTAATAAAAAAATGTATTTTACAACAGGAATTAAAATTTACATTAGAATAATGAAATGATATATAAAGTTTATTTATTCTCTGTAATTTAGTTTTGCAAGAAACCCTACAAAGTCTCCTGAATAATATAATGGAAATGTCCCAGAGGCTACTAGAATATCAAGTAGAATTCATAGAAAGCAGAATAAAGGTGAGATTCTTTCAGGTGGAGCAGAGGGGAAGGGATATGACACTACCTTTTTTTTTTTTTTTACAATGTAGTCTTTTTAGCAGTCCCAGAAAACTTCCATGCCTATTTGCACTCTGAAGATACAGATAAGGTCTCAAGTGAGTTCAACAACTCCAAAAGAGAGCTAACAATAGACCCTCAGAGTGCTAACAACCAGATGACTGCAAAGAACATAAATAATTCCATTCCTCACCAGTCAGAACACCAGTTAGAACTGAGGAAGCTTTTCTTGGATAAGAAGTGAAATGTTTTCAAAGAAAAAAAAGTTCATTTGCCTTTTGGAAAACAGCACCTTTGGGTATAGATACAGTTCTTGAAAACAATGAGATCTATTTCTGAATAAGCTTGCATGAGAGTACATTAAATCTTGATTTATTGATCTGTAGCACAGTGCTACAGGTCCACTTAATAGTGATACAGAAATTAAAGTATTTTATTTACTGGTTTTTGCATACCTGTTAGATCAAGACAGGAACTTTGGAGTCCCTTAGTTCTGAGATGTTAGAGGAATCAAAACTATGCAATATCTGTGAAGTAGCACAAATGCTGTGGAAAGCTCCACCCTTCTCCCTCCTGGCAATCATATTTGCCTCATAACTGGATAGCATTCAGAAAATAACTTGTATCTCTTGTTATTAATTTCATTTATCTCTTACTTTGTTTTTGTGATTTGGATTGAATCTCATTATGTTGGTGTTTTTTTTAATTGTGGAATTTATGGGCTGAATATTTGAATATTGAAACAGAGTATTCTGTTTCTCAAGTCAACCATAAATATCAGACATGGTTGCATTCATTCTGTTGAACCTACTTTGGTAAACCTGGAACTTAACCTTTTTACACCATAATCTTTATTATTTAGTGTATCATAAGACAGAAAAAAATGATAAATAGCTAATGACTTTTTCAAATATTTGCAAATTTTATTTTTTTCAGAAGATGCTAAATTAAAAATGTTCTCGTGCCCTAAATATATTATGATTTGAAATATTTAGTATAATATGTGTAGTGCACTAAGAAATAAATCTTATTGGAATTATTGGGGCCATATATTTAATTATATTAGTTAAATTAAATTTATTAAATATAATTTAATAAAATTAAATTTATTAAAATAAAATCTGACATGCTCCAAAAGCAACAAAGCTTTATCTTGACATTTAACTTTATTGGATGTTTGAAAATATATAAAAAATATTTTTGTTTAATTTTAAAAGTATAAACAAGCATAACATTCCATTGAACCCCGGTGGCGCCATGGTTAGAATGCAGTACCTCATGCTACTTCCGCTGGCTGCTGGCTGCCTGTAATTTGACAGTTCAAATGTCACAGGCTCAAAGTCGATTCAGCCTTCCATCTTTCCGAGATCGGTAAAATGAGGACCCAGATTATTGGGGGGAATATGCTGACTCTGTAAATCGCTTAGAAAGGGCTGTAAAAGCTCTATGAAATTGTATATAAGTCTAAGTGCTATTGCTATTGAATAACTGAAATACTAATTTCAGCCTTGGATATATAATATTTTTGTGTCTTGCAAATACAAGTGTCCAGCAATTATTACTCAATTCATGTTCATGTTATGAACAGTACATTGCTAGAAGTGCAAAAGTTTTAGAACATTATAGTGATGGAAAAGTTTCTACCCTTTTGCTAAACATGGTTACTTTGAGTATTTTTAAAAATTAACGTACGTTTTTCTCTACTTTTTGTTTAAATTTTTCAGATGGAAGATCAACAGACATCCCATGTTGATTATAATGATAAAGAGACTGGCTCTCTTCAACAGAATGTAGAATCTTTGCCTACTGCATCTCAAGATCTAGTTGGTAAAGATATGCACCTGAAATTATGGACATTGTTAATATAAGTAGACATGCATGGTTTTAAAACTTTTATGCGTATGAAAGAAATACAAAAGGAAACTATAGCACAGTATAACAATCTTAGTTTATTATATTTTGTAACCTGAGTATATATTTAATATCTTAAAATGTTCATAGTTTAAAGATTTAAGTTCAGCTTTAGATATCTTCATGGTTCTCAGCAAAGCAAAATAGCTCTTGTCTATTTTCATAGCACTGAAAAATGTTTGTCTATAGGCATGGTAAGCTGAGGCTGCCTATGAATGTTCATATTTTTGTCGCAGCTTATATATGAAAAACATATTGTGTGTGTATGTATAAAAATGTATTATTCTGACATATTCATTGCTTGTTTCTCTATTAAGTAAACTAGTGTTTATTATTTATTCATTTATAGGCATTAAAGTTAAGTCAGTTTCTCAGGAAGAAGTAGAGAATTTGCAATTTAAACTTGAACAACAACATGCTAAAGAAATTGGGCATCTTCGATCATATTTCCTTCAGCAATTAAAAGAAACCGAAGAAAAATATTTTAAAGAGATAGTTCACCTAGAGAATAGACTCCAAATTGCCAGCGAGTCTTCTGAAAATTCCAGGTATTTATAATTTTGGATCTCATTTTTATTTTATGAGTTGAGTTGATTTCAACAGTTTTTCTGTGTATTGCAATTAACTTGGATGCTAACAGACTTAGAGCAAAGTAGAAATTAAGAGCTTATCCTTCCTCTCTTGTATTTTCCCAATTCCAGACATGTTTCATTTAAAAGAAGTAAAAGAAGCTACAGTTGTATCTTTATACTTGATACCATGTGTCCTGAATGATCTAGGATAGAGATCCCCAACATTACTGGTTTGATGGCCCAGTGGGTAGAGGATAGGGTATAGTTTCTTGTGAATAATAAGTAGGGCATACATGAGTACATGGAGCTCCATTTGTGTGCAAATGGAGCTTTGTGCAGTTGTGTAAGCCACCACCGCAAGACAGCTTGCGGTGAGGGAAGTTTTTCTCATGAGCACAAGATGGACACTCATACAAGGGCACATGGTTGCACTCGTAGGAGATAGCTGCCACTTGCCGTGAAGGAACCTTTGTGTACAAGTGCAAGAGAGCCACTGCTTGCATGACAGGAACTTCTCGTACACGCACACAAGCTTGTCCACCACCTATGTGACTTGGTTTCGAATTGGTTGTTGCCTGGTAGTGGGCCTTGGAATTGAGGCTGAAGACCTCTCATTTGGTAAAGTGTATGTTGCAGTGCAGTTGTAGAGCATAGAGTTTGCATTCAGAAATATAATATTCAGCATTTCAAGGTAGTGCTGAAAAAGACTTCTGCAACTTGTTTTAATTGTTATATATGATAAATGGGTAGGATCATAGGTATATACATATGTCCAGTTTGTAAAGGGTAGAAAAAGAAAAAAAAAGTCTATTACTTCATCTCTTCATTGGAATCAGTATGTATCTGAATTCTAAAGAGAAAAGGTTGCTTAGGTATATTTATCTTGAAAATGATGTCTACTATATGGCCTTTTCATTTAGATGTAAATAATATACTTAATAGTAGGATACTTATCTGTATGATTCTTTTCATTATTGAAAAAAGCTTATAATTTTCTGACACTTTTTTTAAAAAAAATCTTCTGTATTGCCCCACTGTTCCTATAACCTGAGAAACAGAAAATTGATGACAATCTAAAATAAAGTTAGACATCAGTTAAGGACTGTCCCATTTAATGACTATTTGAACTTAACAGTGGTGCTGAAAAAGTAGGTTTATAATTACCCCTTGAACCTAGGACAGCTGCAGATCCCACAATCCTATGAGTGCCATTTTTGACCTTCACAAGTGATTTTGGTGGTTGCCTAAATTAGGCTGTTAGAAGTCAGAAGACATGATGGCCAGACAATTCTTGGAAGCCTGGCACTCAGACAAATCAGCTGTCAGTCACATGAAATTTACCAATATCTGTATAGCATTCCAAAAGTTGATTAAAAAGTCAAAAAGGATATGAAATTGCCAAAACACCTCCATGCCACTAATGAACACCCAGAAAAGCAGAGATTAACACCAAAGTTAACATTATGCCAGAAACAAACAATATCTCAGTCATGGAGCTACCAACTCAGACAAACAAGCTAACCGCAAACAATGGCCTAATCAAGGAACCACTAAGACCACTCCTACCAACCCTGACAAGGCAGGCCACTAGTATATAAAATGAGAGTAAAATCAACTCTCTGCTAGCACTGATAATGTGACCTAGTTTGGTAATGAAATGTCTGCAAGAAAACAACCAAACTCAGAGAGCACCAAGTTCAACCCTGAACTACAGATATTTTCCTCTATTGGTGAAGTATAATCTTTCAGAAGCTGCAGCTTATTCCTTTTAATAAAATGTGTTGCATCATATTAAAGCAGCACGAAATGGAAATCTTGCTGTTCCATTTCAAGTTCTGTTCAAGATTTGCAGAAAGTTAAAAAGAGAGAACTATAGGAATATGCAAGCAGCCCTCTGTTTCAAGGATAATTTATAATCTGGATTCCAAAGAAGGAGGAGTGACTTGCATTTAAGGAACAGGACTAAGTAATAGCAGCCTACACTTCCTTCTTACATATTTGCTTACTGCAGTTTTTAAATGAGTTTGAGTTTCATTTTATTTATATGCCGCCCTATTCCCTACGGGACTCAGGGCGGCGCACAAACCCGAAGGAGGGGAAGGGAAAAAACACAAAAACTATAAAAGTACAGGGCATTTAAAAAACAACCAACAGCCACACAATTCGAGAGGGGAAGGGAACTCATTGACTCCAGGCCTGCCGATACAGCGAGGTTTTAACGGCTTTTCGGAAGGCTTGGAGAGAGGTGAGGATCCGAATCTCTGCGGGGAGTTTGTTCCAAAGGGCCGGAGCTGCCACAGAGAAGGCCCTCCCCCGGGTAGTAGCCAGATGACATTGGCTGGTAGACGGAACCCGAAGGAGGCCTACCCTGTGTGATCTAATGGGTCTTTGGGAGGTAATTGACAGCAGGCAATCTCTCAAGTACCCAGGTCCAATACCATGAAGGGCTTTATAAGTGACGACTAGCACCTTGAAGCGTATCCGGAGACCAATCGGTAACCAGTGCAGCTCGCAGAGGATAGGTGTAACGTGGGTGTACCGAGGTGCACCCACAATCGCTCGCGCAGCTGCATTCTGGATGAGCTGAAGTCTCTGAATGCTCTTCAAGGGCTACCCCATGTAGAGCGCATTGCAGTAGTCCAGTCTTGAGGTCACGAGGGCATGAGTGACTGTTGCGAGTGCCTCCCGGTTCAGGTAGGGACGCAATTGGTGCACCAGGTGAACCTGGGCAAATGCCCCCTGGTCACAGCCGACAAATGATGTTCTAAGGTCAGCTGTGGGTCCAAGAGGACTCCCAGATTGCGAACCCTGTCTGAGGGGCGTAAAATTTCACCCCCCAGCCTGAGTGATGGAGTACTAGACAAATTTTTGGGAGGAAAACACAACAGCCACTCGGTCTTGTCTAGATTGAGTGCAAGCTTGTTAACTCCCATCCAGACTCTGACAGCCTCCAGGCACTGGCACATCACGTCAACCGCTTCACTGAGTTGGCACAGGGCGGACAGATACAACTGGGTATCGTCCGCGTACTGATGGTATTTTATCCCGTGCCGCTGAATGATCTCACCCAACGGCTTCATGTAGATGTTAAACAGGAGGGGGGACAGGACCGAACCCTGTGGGGCCCCATATTTCAGGGGCCTAGGGGTCAACCTCTGCCCCCCGACCAACACCGACTGCGACCTGTCCGAGAGGTAGGAGGAGAACCACCGAAAAATGGTGCCTCCCACCCCCACCCCTCGTAACCGTCGCAGAAGGATACCATGGTCAATGGTATCAAAGGCTGCTGAGAGGTCAAGAAGCACTAGGATGGAGGAATGACCTCCATCCCTGGCTCTACAGAGATCGTCGGTCAGTGCGACCAAAGCGGTTTCCGTGCTGAAGCCAGGCCTGAATCCAGACTGAAAGGGATCCAGATAATCGGCTTCATCCAAGGACCATCGGAGCTGAAAGGCTACCACTTTCTCAACAACCTTCCCAACAAAGGGGAGGTTGGAGACTGGACGGTAGTTATTCAAAATGGCTGGATCCAGAGATGGCTTATTCAGGAGGGGTTTCACCACCGCTGTCTTCAATGCCGGAGGAAAGAAGCCCTCCCGAAGGGAGGCATTCACCATCGCCTGGATCCAGCCCCGCGTCACCTCCTTGCTGTTCGCGACCAGCCAGGAGGGGCACGGATCCAGTGCACACGCGGTGGCACTCACCGCTCCCATGGCCTTGTCCACTTCATTAGGAGTAACAGGTTGAAAGTCAGTCCAGAGATGTCGCTCAAGACCTTCGCCAGGTACCCTGCCCGGCTGGCTCTGCGCAATTGGAGTCCAGATCCTTCCGACAATAGTGTGAGCAACAACTAAAGGATCAAAAAGTCTTTGTTCCATCTGCGTGTTGATCATGCAGAAAAGAATAAGGCTGCTTATATTAGGCTAAAAATGGGGAAAGTATAAAATTCCTAGTGAAGTTCCATTCAAGTTTATAGATAGAAATTGTGAGGCACTAATTCCCTGCTTTAAAAACTTCAAATGAAATTACATTGAAAAACCATCCTTTTATTACCTTGTTTTTTAAATTAGTGTTTCTGTGGAGTCACATATAAATGAAGATAAGCAGGAACCAAGACATGCTGAAAGTGATATTCGAAAAAATGCTGAGAAGATAATAGAGGTATTGTGTCCCCCTATTTACATAATGTATATTGAGTAGAGTACAGTACAAAAATGTATTGGTATTGTGCTTAAGCAAAATCTTAGTGCAAACAAAACTTGTACATATTTTATAATTCTTTGAAACAGTTGGAATAAAACATGTTATTTGATTATATAAAATATGTTTGTGTATATATGTATGTATGCTTACATGCGTGCATAACACTAATAATGTAACAAGTAATTTTAAATGTTAGAAAAGAATTAAGTTTATTGAAATTGATTAGGGTATTTTTTTTTGTATGATGCTGAAGCCATTTCATCCTTAGCCTTGAGGCTCTAGTTAGTGACTCTTATTTTCGTTTGTGAAAAGCTTTTAGCATTACTTTTAGAAAGGCAATTAGGTTTGTTTTCTTATACTAAATATATATTTACTTAAAATATCTTAAAAACTGTTTTTCCCTCTCCTTTATTAGATTAGATGGATTATATTCTGTCTATAAAACATTGCTACAATAAGTATAAGAGCATTGAGCTTTTGTTATTTGAGAAAAGCACTTAGTAATAATGCAGTATGAATGCTGTTCCATTATTACCTCTTAAGGCAAGACTGTATTTTTATCCATTATATTCCTATATGGTTTGTATTCAAAATATAATTATTGGTGACATAAATATGTTCAGAACTGATGTTATTAAGAATGACCACTTTCCCCCCAGTTTTCTAAAGAAGCTGCTGAATTGCTGGAAAAACAGTACCAAGAAAAGATGCTACAAGAAGTGGCAAAGGTACAGTTGTATTATGATACAATAGGAGAGTTTAAAACCAATAAAATGATGATGATGATGATGATGATGACGACGACAACAACAACAACAACAACAACAGCAATACAATAGAGTAGCCATAGGTGCTCCCCTCAAATGTGGGCAACACTCATTCAAAAGCCCATTGAAAAAACTGCATTTTAACAGCTTTCTAGATAGATGGTCCCAAATTGCCAGATGAATTCCATAAAGTGGGAGCTGTCAACACACATTATCCCTGGATGTACATACTCATATGAAAGTAAATGACACACAACATCCTGGGATGAGCATGCTAAATGGAGGAGTTCTATCTGGAAAACATGATTCTAGATGTAGCTAAGAACCAGGCCATGTAGACTTTTAATGGTAGAAATGAGAAGTTTGAATTATGCCTAAAATCTATAGAAGTTCCATTGGTTGTAACACATGTCATACAGATAATTGTATTCTGTATCAATAAATAAATTTAGCAATTAAATAATAGAATTCAGCAATAATAGAATTCAGAGGGTATACGATACCATCTAGAGCAGGAATGTCAAACTTTATTTCATTGAGGGCCGCATCAGAGTTGTGTTTGACCTTGGGCAGGGGGGCCTGGCCAGGGTGTGCCAGGCCAACTCAATGTCACTCATGTGAGGTGGTGGCCTGAGCTCTCTGCCAGCAAAAACAGGCTCCCAAACTCTATTTTCTACTGTAATGGCCTCCTGCAACCCTCTGCCAGCGAAAACAGAGCTCGTGAAGGCAGCCCACAGCCCTCCCGAGGTCCGTTTTCGCTGGCAGAGGCACCGTGGGCTGATCTTTTGCTGTTTCCAGGGCGGCCCTGCAGGCCAGATCTAAATACTCTGTGAGCCAAATACAGCCCTTTGGCCTTGAGTTTGACACCCCTGGTCTAGCAGTATAATTCCTTTTTCTTAGGATTCATCTTCAGTTTTGTTTGATCTTATTCAGGATCCCATAACCTCTAGGTGCTGATGAAAACTTTAACTGTATCTCCAGTCCTGCCTGGAGTGTAGAATGTCTATATTTGCTGACTGTACACCATCAGCATATTAATCATACCTCACTCCAGATAAATTTTAATATGTACATGAGCACACAAATTAAATTATTAAAATGTAGAGCAGAGAGAATGGTCACCTATAAGATTCAACAAAGGACTCCTCATTAAGCTCACTTCTCCTTCCTAGCTAATTACATTCATCCTTTTAGGAAGAAGGACTACAGAAATCATTATAATACAACACTACCAATCTACAATGTTCACAACATTTTACTTATAATATGTGTGGTGTATGCAAGCATAAATATTATAAAACCTTACATGTTCAACATTTTCACAGCATTTTAATTCAATACTTAACAAATAAAGAATTCATTTTATTTCCACCATTCAACATAATACTATCATTGTCATACAAATATCTAAAACATTCCTTCTAAGATTACTTCATTTCTATTTTATATCATTTGGTCACTTTGAATTCTGATCAGTCTTGGAAGCTTCATGTTTAGCTATTTCCTTTGCAGAGACTCATATATTTGGAAAGAATGTTACAAATCATCTAGTTCAGGGGTCCCCAAACCCCGAGCCGCAGGCCATTACTGGATTCAGTAATGAACCAGGTTCAGAACCAGGTCGCACGAGCAATGGGCTGACACGCACGCATGCAGCTCAACTTGTGTAAGTGGCAGGCCAGTGCACATGTATTTGCACATGACTTGCATGAGCAACAGGATGGTTTCCCTCTTCCCCTGCCAAGCTGTGAAGGTTGGGGACCGCTGATCTAGTTCATCCTTGTGTTTGGTTTAGGTTGCACTGGAGCATCTCTGATAGATAACCATCCAAACTCTGAAGTCATTTATCTAGGGCAAATTCATAATATCATATGGCAACCCTTTCCGGTATCTAATCTGAACCTCCTTAATAGTTATTATAGTCCTTTAATTCTTTGATTGTTTCCTCTTGTGACAGCAATTCATATTTGAGGAGTATTGTTCTGTCCCCTTTATTTTTTCTGTAGGTGAAGGATACTAACATTCTTTTGTTGATCCTCATAGTTTGGTTTCAAAAACTTTAACTTTCCTAGTAGCTTTCCTCTGAATGTACTTCTATTTGTCACTATCCATTTTCAATTATGGTACCAAAAAATAAACAGATACTCCAAATAAGTAGGGCAAAGTCATCAAGCACAGGGAAAAGTGGAACTGTTACTTCCTTTGATTTAGACTGTGTTCGTGTTAATGTACCTCAAGTTAATATTTGTCTTATTAGCTGTACCACACTGCTGGCTCATCTTTAATTCGTGGAAATAGATTACTCATTAGTTTATATGAAAGCATGAATGAAGTAAATCTTCTTTATATTTCAATGTTTTTATTAAGGTGGTTGTAACCATGAGTATAGAATTTGCTCAGAAAACAGAACGGACGAGAATTGCTAATCTAAAGGAAGAGGAAATTTCACTGATGAAACCAACAGAAACTCAGCTGGAGAATAATTCTTATAGAAAGGAATATCCAGAAAAATTAATTTGTCACATAAATGAGAAGACATGCACTAAGCCTGAAAAAGTGTGTGATAAAATGTTATCACTCGAAGGACAATTTGAATTTGATGCTAAACAAGCTACACTACATGAAGTGCAACAGTTTAATCCCAAGATTTCAACATACTCTTCCTCCCATGATGAAGAATTTATTGAAAAGATGCCTATGGTAAATAAAATTTAAGAATATAGTTAATTTTTTGAGATTCTCTTTTATTTTCACCTGTGCATAATAGCAAAAGGCTTGTCAGCATGTTTGTTGCATTACAATATCAGATTTCTGTAGAACAGTTCTTAAAAATTCCCTTCTGGATTTTTCCTGCCATTTTTAGCATCTCAGTTAAACAAACTGGAATTCTGTTTCTTTGGTTTGCACATTGTTACATCCAGAATAATTCTGATACATGCAGAAGAATTGAGGTCTCTGGCATGTTATAACAAACCAGAATCATAAGTCAAGAAGTTAAAAGAAGAAGAATTCAGGAAATCTATTCTCATATAACATTAAATAAATTTAAGGCCAGTTTCCTAATTTAGGTCCTTCTGTTGGCAGAAACTGATATATTTCATTATTGAATCTTAGCAATCATTTAGATAAAACAAAATTCTTGGTATATTTTCAATCCTCCATGTGGTTTTCTTGGTGAAAATACAGAAGTGGTTTGCCATTATGTTCTCCTCAGTAGGAGTTAATGCTGTTCTATTGTCACTAAAATGATGTAATTCTGCTATTTTCCTGTGTCATAGCTGTCTAGTACAAGTGCCTGTAGCAGGAAGTACCTTGGGTGACTCTGTTCAGAATATATACTCTGAGCACACACTCCTGATATTCTTCACTTATCCTTCCCAGAAATATTCCCATTATAATGAGGCATTATAACATTATATTTGAGGAAGGGGGGAAATGGATAAATTTTTAGCAGCAGTCCTTTATAATTTTGCATAAAACAAAGTTTGAGTCCTAAGAGAAAAACCTTGTTATAAATTCTTAAAATTGAATTAATTCAGTGTTTCTAAATAAGTATATAGACAAATTCCATCTAACACTAAGCTTTAAAAATATAATAAGAATCCATGCACAATCACTAATTCCTGTGGGTATGTTTTTTTAGAAATAAGTCACTTGCTCCTTAGTTACTATGTTTAGAATTTCAATATAAAGCAAATGCTGAGGTCAGCTTTTTAAATTAAATTAGGGAAAAGTTATATTTATAATTTTATTTGGACTGAAGAGTTGAAATTAAAATATAATAGAATGATTCCTAATAAACAAAACATTGAAACGGGCCAATACAAAACTTAGAACTCTGTTTCCTACCTATAGTCAAAATATAGTGAAGAAGATTTATCTTTCTAGTCTCTTTTATAGGTAGTCCTCAAGTTTTGATTGTAATGGAGCCTTCCCAATTAGGGCCAGAAGTGAGACAAAATATTAAATGAACTGCCTCAAGTAATGACCATCCATCCCTGCTACCCTATTACACATGTTAAATGAATGTTTGGGTTGTTAAGTGAAGCATTGGTTGCTTTGAGGTAGAGGGGATCCTATTGGCCTAGTGCAAACATAGGCCTCTGAAGGCTTTCCCTACCTCCCTGAGATAAACCATACTCCATTTCCTGTCCCTTGCGGTCTCACATGCTCCTCCCAACTTCTGTTAATGTTTATCCATTACCTTATACAAGGTAAGCTCTGGAAGCTCTGAGAGCAGCCCTGGACTTCATAGTTGTGGCCCGGAGGTATGTGTCATTTACAGAATGGTTGTAATGAATTATGGCTTCAAAATGGTGCTTGCTTCCAGAAGGGAAGGAGGAATGCATCCTAGAAAAGTCAACCTGGTTTATATTTCTCTGAGACTTGTCCCTGGCACATGCCCCCATAGCCCAGCTGACTCTCTTTCCAGGGAGAAACAATGCAGAAAGAAAACACCGGGCACTGCTCTTTGTTTTGCCAAGATGCCTCTGTCTTTATGGGGCAAAAAAAAAAGAAAAAAAGAATTAGTTCCCTAGTCCTTTGGGGATTTCTGACATGATCAACTGGTCATAGGGAGACTGTAAACCTCTCCTGGCTCTTGCTAGCTTTAGGAAGCTAGCCCCTATGTAAAGGCAGCAGCTTCAGGACAAGCTTCCCAAATTTCCTTGCTTTCTCCCCCAGAAAACCACATTTCTTAAATAAGAAAAACTGAAAAATATTGGGAGAGACAAACTTTGTAGCTTTTTGCCCAGAGGACCTACAGCAAAAATTCAGCCCAGAAGGATTCGCCAATAGCATAACATGTTCACCAAACAGGGTAGAAAATGGATCCTTGAAAGTTTTTCGCTGGTTGTATGACTGACCTTAGAACCCAGTTAGAACTTGCCTGGTCCTAAAGTCAGTCATAGAAAGAACAAAACGCTGGGTTCTAAAGGCTTAAACTTTTTGAGTTGCATTTTTTTCTTCAGCTCAAGGCAAAAAGCTGCAGAAAGATTTTATTTTTTCCTTCCTACCCTCAACTCTGGAGTCAAGGGATAGAGTTTGGTGGACAGAGGTGGGGACTTTAGTTTTAGCACCTAATGATGTCTGGTGGGAGGGGAGAAGAACTTGATGATTGACTATGGGCATACAGCAGCAAAATCTGCCTCTTCCCAAAACCTAGCAAGAGCCAGGAGAGGTTAGCAGTCTCTCAACGGCCAGCTGACAGGTCAGAAAGTTCCAAAATTAGCCACTATTTCCACAAGGAATTGTTTTTTAAAAGATACTTTTTTATTTTCCATTTTCATAACATATAATCACATGTATACTATTACATAGCCAATATCCTATTGTATTAAGTAGTAATTACATCAGTTCCTCTTGCCATCAATGCCCAGAAAGATAAAAACCCATTATTAGCTCTTCTGCTCTCCATACAAGGAATTGTTGAAGTGCTGAAAATGGTGGCTGTTTCCAGGAGGCATGGGGAGCAGACTAAGTGCTTGCAAAATCCTATCAGGGTGGGAGAGGAAGAATGAGGCAAGGAGTGCTGCTGCATCTTCCTGGTCAATCATAAAGGTGAATGGCTATGGTGATGCTGCAGTCATTGTAAATTTGAAACAAGGTCATATGTAATTTTGGGACAGGGTTCTAACTTTGAATGTTCATTAAGTGACCTGTCATATCTCGGGGACTACTCTGTGTTCCATTCCTTTTCTGAACAATTCTTCCTCTCTCTTATGTTTTATCTATTTACACAGCAAACATATTTCTGCTGAGTATAACAATATAAAATACAGATAGGGGATCTTCCATTTGCCCGTTGGAATTGATTAACATCTTCAGGGCAAACTACTGCTAGGATTGCTTATCATAAAATGAAATGACAATTCTTTCGTGGCTAATATTCTATTTTTAACACTTCTAAACAAAAATTACAGATTACAAATGCAGTTTCAACTTCCAGCACTATTCCTTCAACCCAGATGTTATCTTATGAGAATCGTCTGGAAGAGATGCGTCAAGAGCTTGTTCGTCAGTATCAAGAGCATCAACAGGCAACAGAAATATTAAAACAGAGTCACATGCAGCAAATGGAGAGGCAGAAGGAAAATCAAGAGCTTCTCGTAACAGAGCTTGATAGTCTTAAAATACAATTAGCAGAGGTAATATGAACTGGAACTTCATGTATTTGGCCAAATATTTCATGTATTTGGTCAATTTTCAAGGTTCAATTTGTTTTAAAATCATAAATATAATTGCAATACATTTCATGTGCTGCATTAGCTGTGAGCATGAGACCTATTTCTTGTTGTTATAATATCCCATATATCATTAATTTACCTCCTATTGTTGTATTTAAATAAAGATATACGTCAATGCCAGTGAGTTGGAGTATTTATTATTTTAAATTATTTGGAAAAATCTGAAACCTCATAGAACTATTATATTTTGCTTGTAATTATTTATAAACTTTGATTTTGTTGCATTTGCAGAGTTTCTAATTTGAGATGTCTCATTTTGTTTTTAGAATATTAGTGAAAATGCCACAACAGAAAGAGAACAATTGCTTTTAGATGAACTAGAATCACTAAAGAAGCAATTAATAGCTGGGAGAGAAAAGCAACTCTCTGAGTTAAAAAACAGCAGTACTCAAACACAGGTAAGTGTTAATTTGCTGCTCTGGTATATAAATACAATGGCATTGTGACTATGCAGTGTAGGTCATTTTCAAGTGATTGTCAGATTTACTTAAATGGGTGTTGATCACATAGGAAGGTGGAGTTTAGTTGATTTTCTATTGAAAATAAAGTCTTATTTTAATATTGCTATAGCAACATCTTACAAGGAAGCAAGAAGTTATTTACTTAGCATAACTATTTAATTCTGACAGGCTGTGACTAATGTTCTTTCATTGTCAGAACTAAATGCCCGATAACAGGATAGTTAATTATTATTTAGAACTGCTTAAAACTTGTGAATTATTATTTTTTAAACATCTGCATATCTGCATGAATTAGAACATATGGTGATTGCAATATGACAGGATTTTTGTCTCTTTTTTCTTCTCTCCCATTACCAAAACTTACCCAGAATGAAAGTGTGAATCAAACTGAAAATAAAGAGCATGTTTTAGAAGTTGAAGATGGAGAAGAAAAACATGAACAGATGTCTCTCGACATTCTCTCAAAAGAGAGGTAAGCAGTCAGAAAGGCTAAAAGGTTTAGATTTTTAAATTCAATTTTACTGACATTTCAGTGGAATTAATCCATTCCTATTAATTATTAATGAGATTCCTATTAATAGGAATTAATACATTCCTTTTACCTACTTTTCATCCCTTAATTAAAAGTAAGCAGCTTTTTTAGAGTAGTGAAATTTTTTCCCAAACCATAAATTCAGTTGTGGTGTTTGGGTATATGAATCTTAACTAAGAATGAAATCTGTTTCTAAAACAGAAAATGATATAGAAAATAGAGATAAAATATAGCTAGTAATTGCTTTATCTAATTATTGGATTTATCTGTATAGTAGTCATGGTCACACATTCTGGAATCCGACTTTACAAATTACTAATATCTATATAAAGAAATTATCTGGCACATACTGTAAACAAGCTTGTTCATTTAATTCCGTAAGCTCAACTGATACATATTACATTGCATTGTTATAGTAGTAAATGAGTTCTATTTATTAAATATTTCTAATATATGAATACTTTTGTATTGACTTTTTGGAAAAATAATTTATAATAAATTGCTGTAAAATATCTACTTTGGGAAACCATTATACTATATTTCTTAGATTCAAGAGAATATTTGATATTTTCTTATCTATGCTCAAATGTAACAGCCATTATTTGTAAGGAAATAAATTTTTATGAGCAATTGGAAATTGTGGGGTAGGATTTAATAAATAGTTCTTGATTTTAGTTTGAGCCAATCGGTAATCATATTTATTACCTGGGGAAGGTATTCTCTGTTTTTTTAAATTCCTGTCTTATTCCAAGTGATTTTATTTAATAGTCCCATGAGTCCTAGTCTTTGTATAAAGACAAACTGTGGGAGTAAACACCATACTGTATTTTAATTGCAACTATATTTATTTTATGAGTTCAGATGTACTTTGCAGAAAGCCAATAATAGGCTGATGAAGATTCTGTTGGATATTGCAAAGACTACTGCAGCTGTAGAAGAAACAATTGGACACCTTGTTGTGAAACTTATAGAGCAATTACCAAAATCTAAGTTCCTTTTTAAAAGTCTTACATGGGAGAGAAGGGCAGAAGGCACCATAAAACCAAGCATCTACGTGGGATATGAGCCAGGTAATTGTATTAATGTTATGTTTTACATCTTTTATGGGAAAAGTATTTATGATATTTAGTATTAATAATTTCAGGCTGAAATGTATTGAGTATCAGGCCCAAGCTCAGAGACAAAATAATTGGATTCAGTTCTTTAGTGGCTTATACCTAATAGGCATAATCTTGCCAAACTGAGACTATAACTGTCGCCTACTAAATATATGGAAAAAAATTCTAGGATGTGGCTATCCTGAACCTTTTCTCTTCTTCCCCATCCGATTTTGGGCTGCACAGACCCTTAATCTGGACCTCTTTTGAGGAAAACTCTTTGTTGCCAAATGTCTCCTTCACTGTTTCTGCAGAGCACATTTCATCACATTGAGAGACCTTAAAATTCAATTTCTCAGTAAATACAGTATGGAAGCTTAACAGTTCTGATCTATAAATAATGTAAATTAATAATTTGTAGCCATTTACAGTTTTTGTATTCTTGAATCCACAATTTGTTTTTAGAGAAGCAAATTTTTTAGATATGCTTGAAAATGTCTAATTGCCAATTAATTAATTAATTAATTAATTAATTAACTAGTAATAATCCATAACTGCATATTAATTGGGCCTTAATTCTGACTGTTATTCCCCTATTGTATATCATATATCATCATGGCTTGTTTGTTTCAGTAAGAAATTATATACATTTTTTTAAAAAAAACAGCTGCCTATCAACTGTAATAAATGTGACATTTTTATAATCAATGTCCCTTTGTATCTTACTAATAAAAATATGTTCTTTATCTATTACATAAATTCAATAAATAAATTTTATCCATTTTCTGTGATCATTTAAACTAAAGATATACAAAAGTTTTAAATGGAAACTATTTTGAGATTGAAATGCTCCACTTAGAACTTAAAACAGCTCTTTGAGTTTAACCCAGATTGTTCACTGAAAATGTTGTATACTTGAAATGGGGCAGTACTGAGCTGGCAAGGTCTCTGGTAACATTCAACCACTTACACTGACTTCAGAAAAATGACCTCCAAGAAAGGTGTAATGATGTCTGTGTTACAACAAATAGATACCAGAAATTCAATCTCTCTCAACTTTCATAAATCCCACTGTCAGGATTCCGATGGATGCCTTAATTGAACCATGAGTCTTGAGCAAGCTTTAAAAGAAATCCAAAAGAAATCTGGAGAATTAGATTTTGTAAATAAATTTGGAGAAAGTACATGGAGAAGGATTTAAGGAGTGATTTAGCATTAGATAATACCTTCTAGAGATAGAAAGTTAGTGGTAAGGTAGACTTTAGCAATATATTAAAAGAACTTGAGATGGCTGTATTGTGCAATGACAACAGTCCTGATAAAATTTAACAATGTTCTATTGAAAAAGTACGTCCATCTTTAGAAAATCTACTCCAAATTAACAGTTTATGGGCCAAAGTACAGGTAGGCCTAAACTCACAACCATTCATTTAAAAACTGTTCAAAGTTACAACAGCATTGAAAAAAAAGACTTAAACCAGTACTCACATTTGTAACCATTGCAGCCCCCCAGAGTCATGTGATTAAAATCCAAGAATTTGGAAATTTGCATGAATTTACAACAATTGCAATGTCCCAGGGTTATGTGATTGCCATTCATGGTCTTCCCAGACAGCTTCTGACAAACAAAGTCAATGGGAGAAGCTGGATTTAATCCTAGAAACAAAATTGTCTGGTGAAGAATGAGCTTTCAGCTTCGGTGAAACTATCCTGCTCAACATAATGAAGAATGCCAATAAAAGTCATGTTTTTTACTACATGTTTTGTCTGCCATGCTTATTAGGTGCATTATAAATCTATAGAAAAAATGAACAGAATGGTTTTCCTTTGTATAAAACTTAAGACAAAGAAAATGTGCTTAAAAGTAATGTTTTAAAAATATACAAGAACATTTGACAATGCGTTTGGTTTATAAAAAGTGATATTACAACCTGCAAAATCCTTTTCTCTACTTTCAATGTCTTTCTTTAAGGAAATTTTACTCTGTGAAAAGTTTTCAGGAAACTTAAATACCAAGTCCTGGAAATCTATTGTTATTCCAATCTACACAGAGAAGAAAAATTCAGTATGTTATTTTAGCTACAAAAAAATAGTGTCAAGAATGTATATTCCAAGGTTAAACCATGGGTATTATGCAGTTTACACTGCAGTGAAGTTCCAGGTTTTACCTTTAATTATAGATATTCATTGCTCTTTGCTTATAGTGTAGAATACCCAATAACTAATTTATCCTTTTATTTGACTGTATTTTTCTGTAGCTCTGCTTACTGTACTCCAGGTTGTTATTTGTCAGAAGCTGAGCAGGGTTTCTTACCTGGTCAGTACTTAAGATGGGTGAACTTCAAATAGCATCAATTGCATCAGTAAGTGGTGTTGATGGCTCAGTAGAGGGTAGAACTTCCCTCAACTAAGTGTTAACAGATGTTTTGGTATAGCATTGACAAACAATATCCTGGATGTCCATTGTAAATGTCCTTTCTACTCTGAGGATATTAAAGCCCTTTCATCTTCTGGCCCTGAAATATTATACATTTCATATTATTCAAAGTGAGAGTGGTTACATCTAATAATTATTAAGCAATGTCCTTTTAAAATACATTGTATTGTAAATTGGCTAATAGAATATGTCAGACATCCTTGAGGAAATTGCACATTGTGCCTAGAAGTTTAATTTCTGCAGGACATGGAAGTGCTTTGAAATCCCGTGCAGATGAAAGGTGCCAAGTGAACATAAATTAAATTCATCCAGTTACTCATTTCATTCATAAAAAAAATTGAGTTTTCTTTTCATGGAGTGTTGCAATTAGTATTTTTGTTAGCTTTACAAAGCCAAAAGGAGATATATAACAATAATTATCATTAAGGAAAATATTTCAGACAAGGTATAAGGAGTAATTTAAAATACGGTACCATTCACTTTAAAATATAATCAGAATATTTGGGACTTTTATTGAATCAGGTTTTCAAAAGAAATGACTAAGAGGTCTCTTTTAATTATTCCTTTTAAGGGTTTTGAATTGTACTGAGCCATATTTAAGTACTTTGGTCTGATAAAATTTGTCCTTAGAAGTTTGAAAAAAATCTCTTTTAGGTCAATGAATATAAGCATACATATATTTATTGTGACAATATAATATAAAATGTACTTTCTTTTATATCCTAATGACAGATTAGGTAGTTTAGCTTGCTTTTTGTCAAGCATATTTATGCTTGTTCAAGATGCCTATTTCACTGGAAACAAGTCTTTTTTTCCCAATTGGTGCTTTAAACAAAAAGCCTCAAAGCAACAGTATGCTTATAGCAGTGACGTACGATGACCTTCATGGCCAGTGAGGCAAGCGCGAAAGCCCCACCGAAGCCCCGCCACAGCGTCTGCCATAGAGCAGGTCCCGGTCCCGCTCTATGGCGGATGCAGCGCCAGGACTTTAAAGTCCTGACGCCGGGCCCTGCTGCCACTTTAAAGGTTTTAAAATGGCAGCAGGGCCCCGGCAGCAGGGCTTTAAAGTCCCAGCACCACATCTGCCATAGAGCGGGTCCCGGTCCCACTCTATGGTGGACGCGGCGCCGGGACTTTAAAGCCCTGCCGCCAGGGCCCTCTCCCGGCTGGGCTCTTCCCTCTCGCTCTTCATCTTGATGAGGTCGCTGCAGCTGCTGGGCGCAGACAGACAGAGGTAGCCAGAGCAGTGCCAAAGTGGTCTGGGCGGGCGAAACAGCGAGTGAGCTCGCTTGCTCGCTGGAAGGCGCAGAGAAGAGCGCAAAGTCCAGCAAACGCAGGAATGCAAAAATGAATGCAAGGAAACCGCCTGGGTCACCGCTCCCTGCCTCACCTGTCTGGAGCTTTAAAGCTTTAAATTCTGGTGGCGGTGCTGGTTTCCCGCCACTTTGGCGTCCCTGAAAGGCAACTCCACATTCTCCCTTTCCTTCGCCCCTCCTCTCTTCAAAAGCCCCCCCCCCGCAGCAGCTATATTTATGGCTGGCCTGGAAGGCATGCCGGCACTTTAAAGTGCATGCCACCTCGGCCTGCCATACAGCGAAACATGTTCTGGTTTGTTGCCGGGAGGCACGCTGGCACTTTAAAGTGCATTCCGCCGCCCCAGCCATACAGCAAAGCGGCAGCATGCACTTTAAAGTGCCAGCGTGCCTCCCGGCCACAAACCAGGACATGTTTCGCTCTATGGCGGGATGAGGCGGCATGGCTTTAAAAAATAAAAAAATATGCCAGCCCGCGCTCCACCAGAGGCGGGTAAACACACACACACACACACACACACACACACACACACACACACAAAAAAAACAAATTACAATTACTTATATTACAAATAATTTTGAATCCCCCTCTCCCTCCGTCCGATCCACATACCTTTTCCAGTTGTGGATTTCAACTCTCCTCTTGTCCGCCCGCCATGATGAAAATGTAAAAAATTAAATAAAAAAACAACTTACTTAGGCAAGGCTGCCAAGGCATGATTTGCTGCTCCCAGATCAGGAGGCGGGAGAATCACGTGCCTCCTTTGCATACGGAATTTTTCACCTTTTAACCCTTGCTTAACTCTTAAAAGGCGAAAAATTCCTTATGCAAAGGAGGCCCATAGTTCTCTCGCCTCCCCCTACAGTTAGCACTAAGCAGACTCAGAGTCACTGTGACTCTGGAGTCTGGCAGCAACTACCTTAGCCTTTTTAATAATTTTAAAAATTCTTTTCCTCATGACTGCACGTCTCTGGCTTATAGTATGTTATATATATAGAAGAGCCATGGTGGCTCAGTGGTTAGAATGCAGGCTACTTCTGCTGGCTGCCAGGAGTTTGGCAGTTCAATTCTTATTGGCTCAAGGTTAACTCAGCCTTCCATCCTTCCAGGATTGGTAAAATGAGGACCAAGATTATTGGGGGCAGTATGCTGATTCTGTAAACTTCTCAGAGAGAACTTAAAAGCACTGTGAAGCGGTACATAGGTGCTATTGCTTTTTTTTTTAATTAAGATTGATAAAAGCTAATAAAAAAGATAAAGGCAGAGATAGCAGGTTAACTCCTTAAAATGCATTTTTATATTAATTCTCTCTGCTATAAATCTAAGAGTTGACTTGAATTTCCAGATCAAAATGAGATAGGACAAAAATTGGCATTTTAAAACTCCTCCGAAAACATCTCAGAATAAAGATTTTCATATTTAAGGCAACAGGTTTTCCATTCGCAGTGGATTGTTCTGAAAAATGTTGGGCTAGAAATGTTTTGGAATGAAACATTTTTGCAAATCCCTGCCCACTTGAAAAATTCAACTGCAGTCGTATTTGTATAAAATACGATTTCACGCTGAAATTATGTTCATGTTGCTGGTTCTGATAATATATTTACATATATTTTTGTATATAATAACTAACCATTTATATTACTCTGCAAACACAATTTATAACTTGCTATTCATATTTATTTGAAAGTCTAATTGTAGTCATAAATAGATATGCATGAGATTTAACCTTGTTTCTATATTCACAAATATCAAGACACTTTAGATGGATTTAGAAAGTTCTCTAGAGCATTTTTTGGTGGATGAAAATAATCGGCAAAAGAAAGATGTTTAATCCATAAAGATTCATGCTAAGAAAAGGAAGATAGAATCATGTATCTTTCATTAATAGGGTCAAACATCTTCAATGATCAGATTATTTTCATTTCACATAAATACAAATTGAATTCTTTGCTTTCCATTAATGATATTAATAATCTATTTTCAATTATTGAATTAAAACATAGAATAATTTTTAGTGGTAGAATTTTAGTGTTTTCTCAAAATGGAATTTGAATGTAATCAGATGATCTTTGTGCTGGCAATGTGCATAGCTTATACTAGACAACTGTAACCCCTAAATAGAAGGTAATGATTGAAATATAACGCTGTAGGTAAATAGATAGATTTAATCAATTAGATTAGTTTTCATAATGTGCTGATATTCAAATATTTTTCTTCAGTTAGTATCTCCTTTTCTACTTGCTGTCTGCTTTGTAATTAACTGACTTCATTTGTGTAATTTTATTGCAAGTTGTAATTTATTTTATTGCTTGATGTTCTTCATTCTCAGTGGAAATATTTCTGTTTATTAAATTGTTTATTTGATCATATTCATTAACTTGTGTAAGAAAGATCCTTCTAGAAACAAAAAAAAAGCAACAAGAGGGACATTGTTTTTTCTTTTATTTTTTTTGTTATACAGAAAGGCCATCATCTCAGTATATTGGCAATGATCTTGAAAGTCAAGACAATACCATGTGGTCAGAAATCACAGATGAAGAGTTTGAACTCACCCAGTTCCTTGGCATGGAAATAGATGCAAAAAATGAAGAGCTAATTCTAAATATCAATCGCCGAATTCAAACAGCATTTGAACTACTTCTTCAAACAATAAATGAAACTGCTAATGAGGTAACATTGTTTAATTATAATCTTGAAAAAATGTCTGTGGAAAAGAAAAAAATTAAATTTCTTAATTTCCTTAATTTCTTTTTTTAATCATTTTCTTTTTTTTATTTTCAAAACAAACATACAACTCCTCCTTCTTTACATATTGTAGAAAGTGTATCAGCTG